ATTACTCAAGTTCACTATTCGCTACAAGTACCTGTTGTAGGGGGGCTGCAAGGGATTTGAACTCAGGTGGTGATTAGAGCGACCCAACCAGACCAGGCCGAGGTTGAAGGTCTGGCTGGCAGAAGGGGTTGACGGTGGGGGTGGGGTATTTCACTGAACAAAAATTGGGGTACGCTCTGAAAAAAACGGGGGGAAAATCAGTAGGAAATCAGAAAATTAAACGGAAAATTAAGGCAAAATCAATCAAAGATAGTATGAAAAATTAGTGTATGCTTGAATTTATAGTGAGGTACCCCTCGAGGGAGGCCGGAGGGGAGGGGGGGATGCACAGTAGGTCGCCTAAATGACGACCGGTTGCCTACCTACTAAGCGGACCCTCATTCGGTATAGTTTTGTTCTATATTTTGTTTGTCTTCTCAGCTACCCCATGCACAATGTTAACGCACAGAGCCCTACGTGTATGACAAATGTAGACATACCAGGCTGAGTGCAACACTTTTCCTTATCTTGTGTAGCAAATTTCCAGTCTTGTCGTCATCCAGTCATTTTCCAATCGTTTTCCAGTCAGCCAATCACATTCCAGTCCTTACCAGTCATTTTCCAGTCACCCAGTCATGTCCCAATCCTCCAGTCAATCCCAATCATTTTTCCAGTCATCCAACCGTTTCCAATCACCCACCAATCTTTGACTGGGCCAGTGGTGTACACGATTTTTGGGAGTTACGTCCCCCTCGGTTAACTAACATAAACAGAGGAGATTGATTAACACTACAAATACGCACGTCCGTCATTGAGAATCGAAATAAATCACGAAACCTACTCTATCACAACTCCTTCCACGATCTAGTTCACGCACACACCTCCTCCAATGCCGTCAACAAGTGTTGCTTTGACAGATCTGATGATGGACCAGCCTGCAGTGCTGCCGCACGGAGCGCCAGCAGTGTTCCGAAGTAGCCGATACCGCCGACACCCCGCGCGCAAGAGAACTTCGAGCCGGCTCTGAGACTCCCCAAGAAGCAGCATCCATCCGTCACGAAAGGAGGAATGTCTGTCCGTCACGTCCAATTCGCCTATTTCCAGCCATTTTAACGCAAGACATGTTCTGACAAAAAATGTTCATCATCACGAATAATTGATAGAGGGCAAGGCCCAAGTCAAAATTTCTGAGGGCAAAGGCCCCCAGGAAAACAAATCGAACATCCTTGTGACGGACGGACACGCCAATTTTAAAATCTTTTTCTGACCTTTTATCCGTAACTACTGCGTGAAACAAATATTTTAAAGTGGTTTCCTGTTCCCAGTAATGTCCCGAACACGAACCAATTTTCATTTTTTCTGTAGCATGCACCAAACTCGAAATATTTACGGCTGAAGTAGACCCTCAATAGTTTGTCATACTTCACTTGCTACACTAAATGAGGCAGTT